AAATAAATGAATGAATGAAAGAGAAACAGTGGTGATCGGATACCTTGGTAACCGTAAGCATCCTGCTGAGCAAAAATCTGGAGAGAACGTAGTAGTGATCCGCATTATCACCCAACCACACCTTGACCTAAATGTGAGCAAAATAAAGATTGAAATAAAGAAAGGAAGAGAAAGGAAAAGAGAGAAAGATGGTGAAATTGAGAGCGAGACCTTGACGAAATCGTATTTGGAGGAAGCGTTGCGGGTAGAGAATCTGGCGGAGGGAAAGGCAGGCCGTTGCTTATCGTCGACGTCTTCGCCACTCGCAGGTGAAACCACAACCACTTCCTTTTCTTTCTCCTTCTTCATCGATACACACTACAAAGATCGATATCAAGGTTTCGCTTCCAAAGCAATCAACTTTTTCTCCTATCTTACACTTTCACAATCGAATCAAAATATTAAATTAAATTAACTATGTTTTTCTTTAATAATAAACATATTTATCTTAAAGGGACAAAAAATACTTAATTTTTTTTTTAAATTTAAGAAAAAAAAAACAGTAGTTTGATATCACAACAAAATCAAAATGTTTCATGATATTGCTCTAAGAATACTTTAAAACATTTCTAAATCAATATCTTAATTTTGTGGAGTTCTCTTTATCTTCAGCTGTTAACACCTTAGTCCTGTCGTGCCACGTGTATTCATCAAAAATGTTTTAATTTTAGTGTAGTTGAGATTAAATTGTTTTTGGACTAATGAACACATCTCATGTTAGCCTAACTAATTTAATACCTCCATTTGAATTAAAAGATTAATTAAATACAAATTATTGATAATGATATTTATGTATATATATTCAAATAACTTTTAAAAAAATATTTGTATAATACTAGACTTAATATGTATTTTGATCTCTAGATTTTTTTAGTTATATTCAAATTTTTGACTAGTCTCATGTTTTATAAAACTAGTTCAAGTTAGTCGCTTCTATTACTAGCATTAAAAAAGTTATTCAGAATTGTGTCCAAGTTCAGGTCAATTAACGGGACAATTTTTTAAATGAAACTGATTTGCGTTTTTTAAATCGTAAGCAAAAAAATCAACTTAAACCATTTTTATAAAATACGATATCACAGCAACTAAAAAATAAAAAGAATACTTTGTACTCAACTAATAAAAACTAGGAAAACAAAATTGGTATTAAGCCATCCTGCAAAGCCAATTGATCGAATTGATGGTTTCATTTGTTATCGTGGGCTGGGTTCACTGTGCTTGCAAGAAACTAATGGGTATGAACAATTTCTATCCAGTACATAATTTTTAACACTAAAAGTCGAAAAATTCTGTATTAATTTCTCTACTAAGATTTATGAGTTATTTTTTAAGAAAAAAAGAACAACAGCATTTGCCTGTGCATTATGATGTAATGGATTGTACTTGGACCAGCTGGGCTGTGCAGAAAATCGTACGAAGAAATAAAGACCTCCAAACTAAACTACATTCATTATCAGCTTTAACTGTTCCACGACATTGACATATGAACAATCCTAAGAAAAATGTTTAACGGGATTTAGTGCCAAGGCCCACAGATAACGGTACCATGGTCAAAGAGAAAGAAAAAACGTTATTAATTATTATTACTACATTACACCCTTTCTTCTTCCTTGGGATGGTGGAAAACAACAAAGAAAGGAACAAATTTGCCCTGTCAACATCTAAGTTAACCGTTATAAAAGTGAATACACATAATTTGGTACAATTTTCACTAGTGTTAGTGAAAATAATATGATTCTAATATAATGACCTAGATTCAAGATTCAGTTATCGTGCCCTTTTGAAAAATTTACCACCTTTTTTTGCCATGGTTATCCCTGTAACACTGGATTGAAGAAGTGATTTGGTATCAGGGCTCCATCTCAACTCCTTGAGACTGGTAAACAGGGTTGCCAGCGCAGTAGAGATCTCACACTCCTTTATATTCTTACATGACACTACTCTAAGGCTCTGAAGCTCCTTCCATGAATGAATTACATGCTCCAAACCTTCTGTCGTTAGTAATGAGCATCCTTACAAGTAAAACAACTTTACCCTCCTGAAAACACAACTATCAGTTCATATGTAAATCTTGAAGAAATAAGAACAGCAAAGCAATATGTAAGAGAAAACAGAACTGTGATTTCATATAAGTTATAGGTTCAGTTTCTGTTAGTTTCACCATGAGTTTTCATATATGTTAGTAAAAATCCAGAATTGAAGGAGTGGAAAGAACATTCCACGATGACACAGCAGAACAGAACCACTCCAANCTGGATTGAAGAAGTGATTTGGTATCAGGGCTCCATCTCAACTCCTTGAGACTGGTAAACAGGGTTGCCAGCGCAGTAGAGATCTCACACTCCTTTATATTCTTACATGACACTACTCTAAGGCTCTGAAGCTCCTTCCATGAATGAATTACATGCTCCAAACCTTCTGTCGTTAGTAATGAGCATCCTTCCAAGTAAAACAACTTTACCCTCCTGAAAACACAACTATCAGTTCATATGTAAATCTTGAAGAAATAAGAACAGCAAAGCAATATGTAAGAGAAAACAGAACTGTGATTTCATATAAGTTATAGGTTCAGTTTCTGTTAGTTTCACCATGAGTTTTCATATATGTTAGTAAAAATCCAGAATTGAAGGAGTGGAAAGAACATTCCACGATGACACAGCAGAACAGAACCACTCCAATAACATTGAATCCAAAAGTTATTTGCATTTCACAAAACCAAGATAGAATATAATGATGCTCTGTTTGGAACACAAGAGAGTTCAAATCCAATATGCATTGTATGCGAAAACAGGAGAAGAAAGAATTACAAATTACATGTACATCTCCAACTCATTTTCATCTCTGGTAAGTTCTTGTTAAGAATTTTATGCAAACCTTAACCATAGCAAGTTATATGTAGAAGAGAAGATGTCCATTACCTGCACATCATTGCAAAAGAGAAGATGCTATTATCCAATCCCCAACAGTCCTGAAGAACAATCTCCCTGACAGCCCTGCACACAGAAAACAGAGCCGAAACGCCCTTCTTATCCCGAAGCTGACATTTCTGCAAATGCAACCTTTCAAGAGCAGAGCAAGAACCCAAATACTCCTCCATTCCAGGATTGGGATCAATCCTCTTACAAGACTGAAACCTCAAAGTCTTTAAATTCTCACAAAACGGGATGGCAGCAAGCCATCCATCATCCATCTTATGATCAGAAAACGTCAACTCCTCCAACATTAAACAACACTTCCCAATGGCCTTAATCCCATCAAAACTTCCTTCGCACCCACCAAGCTCCAACCTCACCAGCCTCTTGCACCCCTGCGCCAGAATTGTCAACCCGATATCAGAAACCACCGAACTGTAGAGCCCATCAACATGCCCAACGAGCTTCAGAATCTGAAGATTCGCACAGGCCGCAATCCCGCGCAGAACGTTGTCGCTGCAGCACTGCAGTTCGAGTTCCTGCAGAGTGGGACACTCCTCCGCGACGCTCAGCAGCCCCATCTGGCTAGCGCCGATGACGTGGAGGCGGCGCAAGTTTGGACAGCCGGCGGCGAGGGTGGCGAGTCCGTTGTCGATGACTTCGACGGGTAGCATGTTTTCCTCACAGAAGCACCAATTGGGGGCGAGGTCGGAATGAAGGTGCACAGAGAGGACGCGGTGGCTGAGGAGAATGGCGGAATTGCGAGGTGAAATGAAGGCGGCGGAGAGCAAGTCGACGTGGTTGAGATTGGGGAAGCGGTGGATGAGCCTGCCGGAGAGGAGGAAGTTCCAGTCGAAGATTATGAGGGAGCGGAGAAGACGGCCTTGGAGATTGAGCCAGCGCTTGCAGACAAGAGAATTGGAGTTTCGCTGAACGGGGGAGTCGGAGACGAGTGCGAGGATTTTGAGGAGAATCTGGTCGGAGAGGAGAAGGGTTCTGTCGGCGATGGCGACGGCGGGGAAAGGAGAGAGAGTGGCGTCGGCTTTGGCTGCGCGGCGAGGAGAGAGAGAGCGAAGCTTCATTGCCATGACCATTTGGTTTATGGGTTTGGATTTAGTCCATAAGTCTGACCAACGCTTCTTCAATGGCGGAGTGGGAGTTGTAGGGTTTGGGTTCTGATTCTCCGACCGAAACGACATCGTTCTGGGTTGATCACAACGGTAACGGAGATGTTGTGGTTGCGTGAATTTGAAAGAAGGAATGAAAATGTGTAAAGTGAAGAGAAGAGTGCTACTTTTTGTCTTCTTCTAACGGCATTTAAAATTGGGATTCAATTGAATGGGTCACAGAATAAGGCCTTCTTCAGTTTACAACTAACTGTTACTTCTTTAACATTAACCACATCTTACACTCTTTTTGTTACATTTCAGCTTCTTGTTTTTATTAACTGTGCTATTTTTAATAATAATAAAACAAATTATTTATTTTTTATTTATTTAATGTCAAAGAATAAGAAAATGTACATCTCACTTCAAGATCAAAAATTTATGATAAACTTAAATAAAAACGTAGAGTAATACCTAACACTTTAAATTAACCAATAACATTTTTTGCAGAAATTAATCAATGATGGATAGATATTTCGCATAAAAAATAAAATTATGGAAGAAACATGCATGGAAGCTGCAATAGGTTATTAAAATTGCTAGTAAAATCTATAGAATTTATTGTTTTAAACATCATATTATGAATCTGATTGACTACGTTTTCTAATAAAAAACATTTATATGAAATTATATAAATAAGCATTTTAACTGTTTTCATATCGGTTCAATAAGTGATGCATTGATTCAATGATTTGACCACATCATTAAGTGGTCTTAGCTTCAAATCACTGGCTAAATCCTTATCTAAAGTTTTCATTTTGGAAGCTAATAATATCGCTTAAATAGTTCTTCAAAATTATAAAATAAATTATTTTTTACAAAAAACTTGTCTGAAGAACTGTATTATTGTGTTTACTTGCTTTCATGAATTCTAAACAGTCTATTGTTGTTTAAGTACACAAGAGTTTCACATTTGAAATGCAAATTTACAAGTGTTATTTATCCACCAATCAAAGCGAGGCACTTACCTGGAATAATACACTTTTAAGGAAGAATTCAGACCTAATCTTATCTATTTATTTACATCACATAAATAAAATATTTAACTGAAAATGTATAGATCTTGGTTAAACTTGCCCCTCAAACACCATAAATAAAATTTAAAGCAAATAATTATCAGATATTGGACATGATTAAACACAAAAAACAGTTTCATGGGTTTCCAGCTGCCATGAATAAACAAACGGTCAAGAACGAGGAGCAGCCATCTGCATCTTTTTTATCCTGTCCCCAGCCCTCACCATGCTGCAGATTAGACAATAATAATAGTCAAGATTGGGAACCTGGACTGTTCATCTATTTTACACAAATTCCAGATATTTTACGGTTTACAGTCATCAGTAAAAGAGTTTGTTTTCTTTACATATATTTTCTTTGGTTATACTTGTGAGTTCATAAAACCTATATTTATACATTAGTATAGTGCAGTTCTTGCAAGCTGATTGTTGAAATAATAATCTAGGTCCATGGTTGAAACAAATACCTAGTATCATGCGGAGTGATGAATATCCACTGTGATCCATGTGCCTCCGCAAAATCAACTAGAGTGTCCAAGCTGATTTTTCGGCTTACTGCATCCTGAAGATTAAATACAAATTCCACCTTAGGAAACCTAAAAACAGATTTCTACGTTTTACACAAAACAAAGTATAAAGCATATTTATCAATCAGGTATGGTAGCTAACCTCAAACACTATAGCAGTATAGTGCATAGCTTAAATATTTAAATGCTAAATACGATCTTTGTATAGTTTAACTGCTCATAGATTAAAAAAAATAATACTAAAAACCTGTGTTCCTCGACAACAATAAAAAGTTCAAAGTTTTGGTACTAAGGAGGCATACAAGTAAATAGAAACAAAGAATGCCGTGAATAATATAAGACATGGAGGAAAAACAAAGAGGAGTCAATGGGTTTGGATTTTTAGGAAACCGATGCCCAAAAGCATTACAATAAACAGAGAACATCGACTAAGAAAAAAACAATGAGAACAGGTCGGGTCATGGTCTAGTCGCAAGGTGAGAAGGGACAAGTGAGACATGAAAGTAGTGAACTTTGAAAGGATTTTCTACAAGATGCCTACTTTTACCCACAGCCACCTTTTCCATAAAGTACCCTTACAATGAAAATATTATAGGCCATTCTCAGGACTTGGACATCATCGGCATAGCAGTGCTATATTACAAAAGAGATGCAAATTGTCAAACAACTACATATATCTAAAGATGGCCAAGTAAGCAACAAAAATATAGCACTATTATTTAAACTATATGAAGGTAAAAAGTTTTATCCTAGATCAGTAGTAGCAACAAACAATTATACCATGAAGACATCAAATTCATCCATTGCTCTAAAAGGGGCCTCTGTCATTTCATGAAGCGCCAACGCAAAGCACAATGTTGAAAAAGAACGCTCCCCGCCTAATTATCAAAAAATGTACAAATAAATATACACATACAAAATTTAAGTAAAATAAAATGACATGTTTAATAAATTTCCCAACAGTTATATCAAAAATCAATAGTGGAATGGAAGACTAATATGTACAAGAACAAACCTATGCATATCTGTAAACAGATAACTTCTTTTTAATCAAAGAAATAATGCTATTGCATCAACCAGGTTAGCACCATAACTTGTACCAATAATGTAAACAGATAATTTATTTACATTACATTGGTTAAAATAAGACTAAAGTAGTGAATATAAGTGGGAAATTCTCACCTCACAAGGTAATTTTATAAGGTTGAATAAGACTCAAACTCTTAAGAAAAGTCTGTCTTGAATCTGTTATTGGGTCACCTATCATTTTATAAAAACACTAAACCCAATAGTGTTGGCTGTGAGGACGTATAGGGAATAAACTCAAGTCAAAGCTTGACAAGAGCTAAAGCTAAAGAAGGGCTCGGAAGTGAGGGCAAACCTCAAATTTTTAGAGTTAAGCCCAAAACCAAATGCAAAGACTATAATTTCCCCTTGGCATAAAAGATATAAAATTATGGAATCTATTAGAAGATATTAGGGTAACAAGTTTTACTAATAGCGAACAAGTAGTATTAGCAATGAATCGAATCCGTATAAACACACGAATTCGGTAATGGTAATAGTATTTGATAGAAACATCTTAATATCTATTTTGTTGTTACACTTCATTCTTTCTTTTCCCTTTTCTTGGGCTAAACCCTAAAGTTTCAACATCAATACATAGCTGGTTCCCTCGTTCATCTCCTTTGAAATTATGACAAAAAATGAAACAATATATTTTATCCCTCAATATTAAGTGGTTCTAATTGATCCAGTGAAACTAAATTCATTAAGTGGAAAGATTTTAAATTATAAATGTCAATAATAACAACTTCAAAAAGTGTGTATATCATCTATTCGGTGG